CCCCACACCTCCTCCTGTGTCCTGTGACCTGTGTTCACAGCTGCTGTGCGCCCATCCCCACGCCTCCTCCTCTGTCCTGTGACCCATGTTTAGAGCTGCTGTGCTCCCGTGCCCACGCCTCCTCCTCTGTCCTGTGACCCGTGTTCAGGGCTGCTGTGCCCCCGTCCCCACGCCTCCTCCTCCTCTGTCCTGCGTGGCTCCTCTGCCTCGGCTCCCCAGTTGGTGATGATGCGGGAGGAAGCTTCCAGTCTTTACTGACGTGTCCCCTGTGCTTGCTGCCTCACTTGCGCCGTCATCACACAGCCATGTCACGGTGTCCTTCCTATGCCTCAGATGGCTCACACGTGTTGTTCCTTCTGCCTGGAACACTTGTTTTCTTGAGCATTTCTTTAGGAAATGTTTCAGGCACACAACAGGGTTGACAGAATTTTTTTTTAAATAATTTTATTTATTTATTTTTTCCCCCAAAGCCCCAGTAGATAGTTGTATGTCATAGCTGCACATCCTTCTAGTTGCTGTATGTGGGACGCGGCCTCAGCATGGCCAGAGAAGCGGTGTGTCCGTGCACGCCCGGGATCCGAACCTGGGCCGCCAGCAGCGGAGCGCGCACACTTAACCACTAAGCCACGGGGCCGGCCCCAGGGTTGACAGAATTTTACACGAGCACCACCCGGGTTCTACGTTACATCTCCCCGACTTGCTTTGTCACGTGTCTACCCCCATTTGTCTGCTGTCTGCCCCCACAGCGGGCCTCGTTTTCTTGGCGCATTTCCAAGCAGATTGGAGAATCCTTTTGGATCCTTCAGCATCCTGGTCAACCAGCGGTCTGTGTCCGAAGCGCTGACATTTAGGTGACACTGACACACAGTGGGGTGCACCGACGGGAAGTGCACGTTCCCTGCGTAGTGACAATGGCACCCACCTGGTAGCCCAGCCTCATCAGACAGAGCGCTCTGCATCCCAGAAGTTCCTCACGCCCCTTCCCGGTTACCGAGCATACACTTCACTGCTCCCCACTCGGGGTGTTCCAGGCTGGCTCGCCCCCATTACCGAGAGGGCAGGGCTGTCTCCACGGCCTCCCCGACTCCTCCTACTGCGTGGGGAAACGGTGTGCTGTGTAGGGAGGTTTCCGCGTTGCTGAGCCCAGGCCGTTTTTCTTTCAGAGCCTTTCCCCTGTGGGAAACTCACTCTAGGACGCAGGAAGAGGTCGGTGGACCAGGCCATCCCCAGCAGTCAGGAGCCCCCCAAAACCGGCATTACGAACCAGTACGACGACGGTGAAGACCTGAGTCCTACCAAGAGCCCGAGCGAGCTGCTGGACGGGAACAAGACAGAGACGAGCCTTGAGGACGACGGCAGTGTGGTCCGAATAGTGGGCGGGAGGGACTGCACAGAGGGCGAGTGTCCCTGGCAGGTAACTGCTGAGCATGATTAGCGCGTTAACTGGGTGAGGGACCCATGCTGGCTGGGCACCATGGGCACAGCCACGGAGGACGGGGCCTACGCTGCCCGAGCACACTTGTGGCCCTGCAACAGGCTTTGAGCTCTGATGCTGAAGGGGCCTGGCTCTCTCCCCTGCCCACCCTGCCACCCCATTCCCCTCTGGGTGCCCTGGATTCTCTGCCCGTGAAAGACAGACGGGAAGGGCAGAGCCCCACGCAGAGCCCTAAAACCTCCCTCTACTGGAAGGAGAGACGGGCGCCAGCTCAGACTGCGGGTTCCATCAGCAGGTAGAGGGCGGCTCCCTGATGGTGGGCCAGGCCTCTGCTTGCACTTCCCTTTAACTGGAGATGGAAAGATCACTTCCTTGTTTCACTTCTAATTGGTAAATTTTCTTTACCCAAACACGTAAATCCTAATGAGGCTAATGGTACCTTAGATAAGAGTACATCCGTTTGTTCTCAAAGGTGAAAAACCACTCTTTGGTTGTTGATTTGAGCTAAGGTTGCTAGATTTAGCAAATACAAAACAGGACTTCCACTTAAATGTGAATTTCAGATAAACAAGGAAAGATTTTTGATGTAAATATATAAATATTACATGGGACATACTTATACGAAAATTATCTGCTATTTATTTGACTCAAATTTAACTGGGTGTCCTCTGTGTTATCTGGCAACCCTAACTTGGACTTCAAGTTTTTAGCATCCAAAGCCAAAATGGCTTCTCCTACAAGCAGGAATCCCAGAGCCGCAACAACCCTCAGAAGTTACCTCTGCTTGCTCCCGTCTCCAGGCACAGGACAGCTGTGCACGTGTCTGAATGGTCAAGAGCCCAGGGAGGCCAGCTCATCCTCTGGTCTTCCCTCACCCAGCACGTCTCTGTGGAGAATGTACTGTGTGTCAGGTCCCGCCCTGGTGTTGCGTGTGGGACGTGAAGTCTCAGAGCCACTTCTCTGACGTGCGGACATCCAGGGCTAGGAAGGGAGGCGGTGCCACTGGGAGCTAGTGAAGCCCGAGGATGGACAGGACAGGCTCCCCACCACAGGGCAGAGGTGTGGACTGAGGCTTTGAGAGTGGCTTTGGATGGGGCTCCACAGCAAGAGGACAGGGACGGGCACCAGCAGAAGGATCCTCACGAGCAGGTCTCCCATCCAGTCGGCTGGGATTCGCGATTCTTGCTCTCCTGGTTCCATCTCGGCCAGTGCCTCGTCTCCATCTTTAGGAAGAACAGTTGGTGTCCAAGTCTTAGAAAGACTGACTCTTTCTCACTTGTTAACCAGGTTGGATTGTGAATTGACAAATTATGCAAAAAAAGCAAACATATTACTATTTCATGCTAGTCATGAATGTCTTGAAGAGTTCTTTTAGACATGGTGTTGTTAATTGCCTCATTAACCTACACGTATCCCCAGCCAATAACTGTTGCTTAGAGGTCGTGGAATTCCCTAGAGAAAGGAAAAGCAGTATTGCTCCTTCTCCATATTTGCAAGCCCAGTTCTTTGGGGAAAAAGGAGAACAAGAGAATTGTCTGTGGTGCCTCTCACTTGCCCCGTCAATGCTTGTTCCCAGGTGGAATATTCCTCACTCCCAAATCCCGTCAGGGAGGAAATCAGGAGTAGCCACGTGGATTCCAAGGAAAGAAACCTGGAATGGTGGCGTTCCCTGGGCTGAGGGAGATGGGTTAGAGTAGTTGAACCGCTGTAGAGACCAGAAGTCACATCAGTTCTGGCAAGTGTTTGCTCTAGACTGGCATCGCTTGGTCTGCGGTATAGTTCATCGGCACACACCCAGCAAAGGTTTTTACCACAGTGAGGTTGTCTTTCTGTGCATGACGCTTGAGAGAGTGCTGGGACAGATCTGGAGAAATGACACCAACCCTGTGGAAGAGTTTGGAGTCCAGGTGGAGAAAGAGACAGGTGAAGCGGGACCGACCCACGCTGCCGTGGCCAGCACTGGCGCTCAGTGGGGCCTCAGCAAAGGTCTCTTGAGTAAATGAGCAGTCCATTGATTGCCTGATCTGTGAAGCAGACCAGATGGTGTGAAGGTGCTGCCCGAACCCGCACTGTGAAATCCGGGGGGTAGGTGTCGAGCTGGGGGGCGCTGAGGGTCCCTCCTGCGCCGGCTCTCGGAGAACGTGCCAGGTGGACCTGTTGGTGGAACACAGGCCCAGGCACTGTGACCCTGGGCGGGAGGTCTGCAGGACTGACCACGCTGGGCAGCAGCCCGAGTGTCGGGTGGGTACGTGGGCGCACGGGCTTGGCCTTGTGCTCCAGCCTGAAGACGCCACAAGTTCTCTCGTGGGGAGGGGCCGCAGGGGCGGCGGGCGGTGGGGTGGCCCTGATCCAGGCTGAGAGTTGGAGGGGAAGGCTGAAACCAGAGGCTCTCGAAGTCCTCTTCTCAGTGAGTCAGACTCCACCTGGTGGGCTCTCGCGTTCTCGCTGCAGGCTCTGCTCATCAACGAGGAAAATGAGGGCTTCTGCGGAGGTACCATCCTGAGCGAGTTCTATATCCTCACTGCGGCTCACTGTCTCCACCAAGCCAAGAGGTTCAAGGTGAGGGTAGGTAAGTGGCGCCACACCCCTCAGCTGCCCTGAGGGCCCACTGTCACTTCCTTGTTTCAGAGACCATTAGAATTGATCAAATCTTTTGGCAACACTAGTTAAAATACTGAAATCCTGGGGGGGTTGCTAGGGGGAGTTTCACAGAGGAAGGGGAGGGCGGGGGAAGGGGGTAGGGAGGGGGAGGACGGGCGGCCTTCCTGGGGCAGGCCCAGCCCTGATCCCGCATGGTCCTCCCTGATGCTCTGTGTCCGCGCCCAGTGATGCGCCTCCTCAGGGTCCGCTCCTTGGGGAAGACTTCCAGAGCCTCCTCTTCAGCAATCTGAGCACCAAGTACCTCTTTATGCTTTACTATATTTTTCAAATTTTCTAGTGACCATATACCATTTTTTTTCCTTTTTTTTTGTGAGGAAGATCAGCCCTGAGCTGACATCTGTTGCCAAGCCTCCTCTTTTTGCTGAGGAAGATTGGTCCTGGGCTAACATCCGTGCCCGTCTTCCTCTACTTTATATGGGACGCCGCCACAGCATGGCCTGACAAGCCGTGCGTAGGTCCGTGCCGGGATCCAAACTCGAAAACCCCGGGCTGCCGAAGCAGAGCGCGTGAACTTAACCACTACACCACCGGGCCGGCCCGCCATGTACCATTTTTTAATTAGAAAAAATACTAACTACTTTAAAAAATAACGGACGTGTAAATGCCCGGCCATGCTGGGCTAACGCGGCCGTGTCCTCGCCAGGTGACCGGAACACGGAGGTGGAGGAGGGCAACGAGATGGTGCACGAGGTGGAGCTGATCGTAAAGCACAACAAGTTCGTCAGGGAGACCTATGACTTCGACATCGCGGTGATCAGGCTGAAGACGCCCATCACCTTCCGCATGAACGTGGCGCCCGCCTGCCTGCCCGAGAAGGACTGGGCTGAGTCCACGCTCATGACGCAGAAGACGGGCATCGTGAGTGGCTTCGGGCGCGTCCACGAGAAGGGCCGCCTGTCCACCACCCTCAAGATGCTGGTGGTGCCCTACGTGGACAGGAACACGTGCAAGCTGTCCAGCAGCTTCACCATCACCCAGAACATGTTCTGCGCCGGCTACGACTCGAAGCCCCAGGACGCCTGTCAGGGGGACAGCGGGGGCCCCCACGTCACCCAGTTCAAGGACACCTATTTCATCACTGGCATCGTCAGCTGGGGAGAAGGATGTGCACGCAAAGGGAAGTACGGGGTCTACACCAAGGTCGCCAACTTCCTCAAGTGGATCGATAGGTCCATGAAAGCCAGGGCTGGGGCCCAGGGGTAAGCAGGAGGTCCCTGTGCCTCACCCCCATTAAAGTCGTTCTGCTGAAGACCCGCTGGCAGCCGCTGGCATCTTGTTCTGTCTTAACACTTGCGTTCTGAGCAGGTTAAGTCCCGCCGTGGGCCTCCCGTCTGCAGTGATTAGATCTGTGTCGATTCCTGGTCCCGGTGATCTTCTGGCTCTGTTGAATGAGAAATGCAGTTTTCATCTGGAGCAGGCTGGGAGACGTCTTCGGGAAATTTTGTACTTTATAGGGCAGGATCTAGACTCCCCAGGATGATTCTTCTGCTCACAAGCGTGACGGGGCCGTGTCTGCTCCTGGCACGTTTTTCTGTTTTTGATTGCCCTAGACTGCCCTCTTGGCTGCCACGCTCAGAACACTTGCGAATAAATGACCAAGGTTCTGGGGGCACAGAGAGAAGGTGAGGCAGGGGTCGGGGCCCACCCACAACTGGGCAGCTGCACCCTGGGGTTGGGTGGGGGCTCCCCATGTGTGCTGGCAGCCTCCCTGGGCCTCCCGTTCACCCTGTGGGGCTGAGACAATGTTGGAAGCGCGTGCTCAGGGGCCTCCTGGGGCACTTTGAGAACGTCTCCTGAGCAGCTTACACGCTCACTGGGTGCTGCCTGTCCCCAGCCCAGGGGTCTGGATCCTGACTATGTGTTAGGACCCCGTGGGGGCTCTGGAGTCCTGCATCCAGACCACAGCCCTGAGCACTTAAATCGGAGTCTCCGGGGTCACCATGGGTCCCGGAAGTTTCTCCAGCTCCTCAGGTGACCCGAGGTGTGTGCGGTGTGTGCTGGTGGGGGCTTCGGGAGGGAGGGGAGCTGCATCTAAATGCCAAGTCCTTCTCTGTCACAGTCCGTGCCGGCTCCAGGCCCTCAACTCAAATGATCATGAAAACCAAACGGGCTTTCAGAAAACAGGAAAGGTCACGTCAGACCAGATCTGCCACTGCGTTTTCCAAACGTCCCTTCACAGTTTGCATTTTGCGTAACTTCACTAAGCAAAGCTTCAAAGTCCCAGACAAAAGCTCCCCAGATGTCACTAACAGGACAAAGTGATTTGTAAACAGGAGCTGTTGCAAGGTTAGGAACATCGATGTGAGCCAGTATGCAGTTTCCAGGAGCGGCTGAGGGTGCCGTCTCCCCCGGGGCCCGCCTCCACGCCTCCTCAGGGGGCTGCTGCCAGAGAAACGGCCTCAGACGGTGGAAGACCACGTGTTGTTGGGTTGTGGGGTTTCTACGCAGCTGAGTGGTCTCTGTCCGGAAGCAAACCCCGGACTCGGGTTCCTGGTTCTGGAGATGGAGAGTGGTTTGGGGTCCAGAGGGCACTCCGGGGAGAGGCTCACAAATAAAACCCTGCTTCGCTGTTACTGCTTGCTTCTGTCACTGTTGGCCGCTATGACCGGCGAGCAGCTGCCTGTGCGCATCAGCGAGGAAGGGCACCTGAGGCACAGCTAGCGAAGGGCAGCAGGAGCCTCCATCACCTGATGGGTCTGCTCGTCTTCCCGTCCAGAAATGGTTCAGCTCAGGGAGGTTCTAGGGGAAGTGAGAGGACACGGTGGTGTCCCTGGCTCTGCAGCTGGACGCGGGCGGAGGCCGCTGGTCTGGGACTCGCAGCGGTTTCGCCCAGCTCTGCTTGTTGCTGTGTGCCCCGGAACAACTCACCTCCCTCTCTGAGTATCACTGTCTTCGTGGAAGATGGAGCTAGGTCGTGCCGTGGGGGACATTCCATTATCTGCCACCAGAGTGTCCCCAAGGAGAGTCATTTGAGGGGCTGCCTGGTGTGGAAGGCGAGGCCCTGAGGGCAGAGCTCAGCAAGCAGGCAGAGGTGAGGAGCCAGAGGGCAGGAGAAAGTGAGGGCTGGCTCTTCCTCCTGAGCGTGAGGAGAGGCTGCAGTACTACCCTCCCCAGCACCGCTCGTCCACACCAGCACCCTCCCTTCCCGAGGGGAGGACCAAGGTGACAGCCTGGGAGCACAGCGCCCCCAAACAGGGAGGGGCTTCTGGACGGGGTGAGGAGCTTTGAAGGGGCAGGGAGGCTGGCGAGCCTGAGTCAGGAGGCAGAGAAGAGCGAGCCAGCTACATGGGGGCCGTGCCAGCACTGCAAAGCCGGTAGGGTGGTAGGTTCGGAGAACACAGACACCCTTCCACATGCAGGGCCTGTGGGTGCCGGCTCCCTGGAGGGTCCATCCCGTCCTGAGGCCCTGTCTGCAGAAGGATGAAGGGCACGGAGCACGATGCCCGCAGGGGTTCAGCAGGGGTGGGATGGGGCTCACGGTGGGTGGGATGGCTGCTCCCCATCCCCTTGGGATGGAGCCATCAAATGGGAACTGGAGGGTTTAAATTTCCGTTTGGCAGGACCCTGTGGCTATAGCCCTCACAGGAATCGTTGATTGAGGCAGGTCATCAACCTTGAACATCAAAACTGGTGGAACAGTCGTTGGGAAATGAGATATTCACACAGTCTCAGAGCACCGCCCTAGCAAAGACTTGATTACAGACAGGACAGGGTAGCTTTATAATGGCGAGACCCAGGGGGCACGTCCTCCTGGCGACCAAATATGATGTCATGACAGCAGCACACTGGGAAGGACACACATGGCAATGCAGGGCTCCTACCCAAGCAGGGTTCACCCAGTCTAACTGGGGCAGGTCAGTCGGGCGAAGCAGCTGAGGGTCCGTGTCAGAAAGACCCAGGCGGCCAGGGATTGCATTACATGAGACTGAAGGGAACCAACAGGATGCAGTGAGGAAGGATGCTGTAGGGGTTCTATCAGATGCCCCTTCACAGGAGGGGATCCCTGATTAATGGGGGTGTGGGGGAGAGGAGAGGGAGACAGACAGACAGGGACAGAGAGACAGAGACAGACAGAGACAGAGATAGACAGAGACAGAGACACAGAGGAACAGAGACAGAGACAGAGACGGGGCAGGGGGGCATCCCCGAGTCAACGCCCCGTGCTGACGAGCTCCATGCGTGTGGGATCAGGAACTACTGAAGAATGGGATGTGAGTTTGCTGTCCCCTCACACGGGGTTCAGAGTATTTGTCACCTCATGGTGCTGAGTGTGATTCTCGGGCTCAAAGACACACTTGGTTCTTACCAATGTCCCCTGGGTCCCCTCCTCCACGTGGCACGTGGCGCTGCAGGAAGCTTGGCTGTGCTGGTCTTACCGGGAGGCGGGTGAGGCCCGCCGTGGCCGACTCTCTGGCCCTTTATACCCTGACCTGCCCCACCAGAGTTCTGGGTCTCTCTCTGACCTCAGGTCCACCGCTGCCCTGCCTGTGGACGCCCTCCTGCCACACTGGGCTCCTTGTTCTGCTGCAGGCAGAGCTCCCTCCCTCTCTGTGCCCTGAGAGTCCTCCTCAGCCCCAAAGGGAGCCTCTGCGACCCGCTTGTCTGAAACAGCCCTCATCGCTCTGTACCCCTTATCTGCTCTCCTTTTCGTGGCAGCGGAATTTGACATCCTTTCTCCTTCCCCGTCCCTCCCTCCAGTGTGTCCCATCACACCTGGGATGAGCCCCAGGTGACTGTCTTGCTCCTGCTGCACCCCCAGGCTCAGGACACCTGGCCTGCGGGGAAGCTTTGTTACATGGGCCGGGCCGGGCGCTCGCTCTCTCTCCTTCCCTCCCCGCCTCAGTCTGTCACCCTGGCTCCTTGGAGGGGACCCCTGACTGCACTCCAGGGAAGTCTACCCAGTGTCTCCCGAAGTGTCTCGGCAAGACCCTCTTGGCCCCGGCTTTTCACTCCTCTGCCTTTTCTTCGCTCTTTTGGCTTGAACAGAAAAACGCAGGCCTGACGCCTGCATTTGGAACATTCGGAGCTCAGTGTCCTCCCGGTGGGAGGCGCTTCTTTCCCGGGAGTTTGTGTTCAACTTCGGCGTCCTGCCTGGAGCCGCCTTTTGGGGCTGGTGGCTGTGGCCAGCCCATTCTGAGCCCTGGGGTGGACTTTGGCCCTGTGTTTGCAGACCTGTCCGGCGGCAGCCAGAATGGCAGGCTTCGTCCTGCAGCTCCTCATCGTGGTCCCCCTCGCCCTCCCTGTCGCGGAGCCCTCAGGTAGGCGGCTCCTTCGAAATTGCGTCCTTTCTGGCTCCGCCACGCGGGGTTGGGTGGGGGCTTTTCCTAGGGATTGCGATTCTTGGGTACATCCTTCCCCTCCGATGGTATCTGCCTTCTTACCTTGCTCTGTAGTGTTTCTTTCTGCCTCAAGAGCAAATGGAGTGCTGGTAAGATGGAAGCGTGCTGGCTCCTATCTTTTGGAAGAGCTCTTTCAGGGGAATTTGGAAAAAGAATGTTATGAAGAAATCTGTCTCTATGAAGAAGCAAGAGAAGTGTTTGAAAATGACATGACCACGGTACGTACTCCCCACCACGAACTCGCTGGTTCTGATGCCCTGAACCCCTGCGCCTTAGAGAGCGCCATCTCAGAGACGACGGAAATAACGAGGCTGTGTACTCCCCCGTGAGGTGGACTCAGTCCTGACTTTACAGATGAGGAAACAGGCAGAGAAGTGGAAAGCATTCCACAGCTCGTAGGTGGGGACCCGGCGCAAACCCAGCCCCACACCCTAAACCCAGCAGATCAGCACGCGCATCAGATTTACCTACCATCACAAACCCCACTCAGCTTGTCACTAGCCTGGCAGAATCCGGTATTTTAAATAGAGACCTAATTATTACAATATATCAACAAATTTTTAAGAAACAAAAATTCTCCCTAGGATGCCAGCATAGTAAGAAAATCTCTCGTAATCTAGAATTTGGATTAAAAGTGACCACAAGCATACTCTAAATAATACAGGTAAAAATTTGCCATTCTTAGTTGCTCTTAAGCTTATCAGAAGACAGAGAAGTGAGCCAAAACTGAGGGGCTGAATATTTGTGTGTAAATATTCAGAATAGTAAAATATTTAATAAAGATTTCCTAGTTTTACATATAAAAGCAATATTTAAAGTCGATTCTGCGTAAAATATTGACCTGTTTCTCTATAGTTTCTTAATTGCCCAAATATAAGACAACTCCTCTGAAGGAGACCATAAACTCTGATAAAACTAGGAGAAATTCAAACTCCCTGGAAGGGAAAACTGTGCTTGATCTCGGACTTGTGACATCATTCAGGCCGTTACAGGCCCAGGCGTGACCGGGACGTACAAGGACTCACACATTTACTTTCTAGGCTCAGAGTCTGAGTAATTCTCCTAATTTTGGATACCTCCCCCGCAACCAAACCCCCCCCCTTTTAATTTTTAATCATAGTTAATTGGCTCATAAAGACGAAAGGCGGTGTGAACTTTCTGCACGTGCGTCATGCCGAGCAGGGCGAGGACTTGCAGGCCGCCGTCCCTGGAGGGGGGAAGGCCTGGGAGGCCATAGTCGCAGTGTCTGTGCCCCGTCACACACTGGCTCCCCTTCCTCAAACAGGTGACAGTGAATACAGACTGAACAGCAAGTGTTCCACACATACTAATGAGGACTTTAAGTGAAGAAGTGAAGAACTTGCATTCTTTGTTTCAACCAGTATTTTCCTATTAAGTGGCTATAATCAACATTTTCTTATCTTCAAGTCCACCTACAGGAGAAAATATAGAAAAACTGATGTCTCATTGATAACGCTTTTGTTTCAATTTCACAGAATGAATTCTGGACGAGGTACATGGGTGAGTGGCTCTCCTCATCTCTCCAGGATTCTTTCCTCTTCTTTTCTCTTGAGATCCAGGAAGGCAGCGGGCTTGACGGCCAGTGGATTCCAGATTTCAAGCCTTTGGCTCCTCGACCCCGACCCAAGGGGAGGACCTGGATCAGAGCAAAGCTCTTGTGGGGGCTTGGGTGGCAAAGGCAGGAGGGTCCCCCAACCTCAGCGGCTCCTCTCATCCTCGTGGCCTCGGGGGGTCCCTGGGGCCTCCTGCTGAAGGATCAGCACGTGGCTACATACACCGAGGCTCGGTGGATGCTGGGCGAGGCTGGAGGGGTGCTGGGAGGAGTGCCCAGGGACCAAGTGACAGAGGAGCCGACAGGGTGGGCAAGGGGAACTAGGAGCAGGGCTGTGGCACCAGTGACAGTCACAGTGGTCACTAAGCCAGGAAAGGAGGTCGAGGAAGGGGACTGAGAGGGGCCTCATGGGCACATGTGGGCTGCTGGGGCCCCGGGGGATGCATGTGGGGCTTGGCAACCGGCCCCAGCCTCCTGGGGCCCCGGGCACAGGGCCAGGGGCGTGGGGAGGGCCTGGGTGACGCCATCCCTCTCGGCAGGTGGCTCCCCGTGCGCCTCCCAGCCCTGCCGCAACAGCGGGACCTGCCAGGACAACATCCGCAGCTACACCTGCACCTGCGCCTCGGGCTATGAGGGCAGGGACTGCACCTTCGGTGAGACGGGCTCCGGGTGGGCACCAAGGTGCCGGCAGGACCCCGAGTCCAGTGCTTCTCCACTGGAATCACCTTCTCTGAAGGGCCCTCCGGCCCCAGACACGCCTCCTCCCCCAGCGTCTCTTCCTCTTCCTCCCAAACCCACCCCCACCTGAACCGCTCCCATTGGAGCCATCTGACCCCAGGCTGTGAGGGGTCACACAAGCGCTCGGAGCCAGGCATGGGTGCCAGACGTTCCCGCAGCTGAGACTTAGAGCCTCATGGACTGATAGTCCTTAAATACAAATAAATAAATGCAAATTTTATTTGTGGGGATGGGGAAAAACCAATTTCCTATCAATAATCACCAAACATGGAGGAAATAAATTCACTTAATCCTTTTAATGCCTCTGCTCAACGCAGAGCCAATTTTCTGGGGGAAAATATCATTTCCGGCCCAGATCTCTCCTCCCAAGTCCAAGTTTCTACTCCCACTACCTCCTGAGCGCCAGAAGATTTCGCAGACACCCCAAATTTAACAAGGGCCACAGCAAGGTTCTGTGGCCACCCCACACATGTCCCTGCCCCCATCCCTGCTGCTCAGCCACCCACACAGGGTCACACTAGACCCACTCCCGTCCCACATCCCACCTCGAAGAAGCCATTTCTGGAGCACAGCTACCACAGCAGGAAGTGACGGTAGACCCGAGTGAGCACGCACAGCCAGGAAAACAAACAGGCACCCTGCAATGTTTGCAGTCTCCCAGGACCAAGTGACATTTTCTGGGGACAAATACCTGGGCTGGCACTCACTGATCCTTTGCTTTCTCCGTGCACATTCCTGACATGGAAGTGTGGGAGAAGCTTGTATGAGCCAACAACGTGAAAAGAGTGACATCTGGACTGAAAACCAGAGCCCCAGTGTGCAAGGAGATTTAACAATGACGGTTTCCACGTCAGCATTTCCGGTCTTCCCTTTTGTTTCCCTTTCAGCTAAAAATGAATGTCACCCACTGAGGATGGATGGGTGTCAACACTTCTGCCACCCGGGAGAGGAGTCCTACACGTGCAGCTGTGCCCAGGGGTATAAACTGGGCCAGGACCACAAGTCGTGCATCCCGCACGGTGAGTCCTCAGACGAGAAACGAGAGGAGGTGGCCTTTCTCCTTCCGCCCCGGTGGCTCGTCCCACTTGCCCCTCTTCTGTAAGAGCCTTTGAAAGGCCTCTTCCTTTGAGATGAGGGGTCGCTGTGACTCAGCCAGAGTCCTTGCCCCCACTGGAGCTTGTCCAGGTCATCACAGCCTCTGAGCTAAACCACAGCCTGAGAGCAGGGATTTCATTTCATTCCGCCCTGCACCTATGAGTTACTCAAAGCCTCAGCACGTAGGACTAAGATCTGAGCAGTCAGCACCGTGCGTGCCACCTGATGCTCGACTTGGAAGGCACTGACTTTCTTCTCTTGTTGTCACCACAAATGAAGAGAGGTGCGCGTGTGGAATCCTGAATTCTGAGAGCATCACCACACCAGAGAACAGCACGCAGAATCTTCAGATCTTCCCATGGCAGGTAACATTTTATAAACATGTTTTAACTTTTTGTTACCAACTTCACCCTATTTGCCATTTCCATCTTCTTTGCCAAACCGAAATGTTAAGACCAAGTGAGAGAGGCAGCATGATTCAGGTGCTAATCTCTACGTCACAGGTCAAGGCACTCTCTAATGCTGAATCCACAACTTAAAGCTGTGTTTGTCCTTTGCAACAAATAGAAACGTATAGTTTCACTTACAGCCACCCTGGGCCTTTCTAATGGAGTTCAACAACTGTTCTCAATGTCATTTCTCCCAGAACCTCAGCATCCTGAAGGCGCGGTGTCTCTTCACAGTGTCTGGTGGGTGGGTAGGTTGATGTGGGTCCCAGAGTGACCCGGAGAGGCACGGGTCCCGGCTCCGCCCACCCACCTGCGGGCCTCCAGCTCCATTCCTGTGGCCAGGAGGTGGTGTCTCTGGCACTTGTTTCTGTTATTTCCTGTCCCTCTTGACTGGGTTGGGAGCTACATGTTCCATTTCTATTTATGTAACACACTCTTGACATGTAAACATTCACATTTAACTTAGCCATACATGAAGTTAGTATGTTCAACCCCCTCCCAAATCATTTCCAGCACCCCACGCTAGGCTCATCTGCTATTTTGACCAATATTTTATTCTTTTCTCGTTTTAGTAACTCCACAAAATAAGTATTATTTTTATTATTATGGTTTGTACCTCCAGTATGGGTTTTGATTTACCTATGTTTTCCATTTCCCTCGCATCTCAGGCGTCAAATGCAGATCATCTCCTTTTGCCTGAAGTACAACCTTTAAAACCATCCTGTCAATAGAAATATAATGTGAGCCACATACGTAATTTAATATATAATTGAAAGTAAAACCAGGTGAAATGAATTTTGATAATGTATTTTATTTACCCCAATATATCCAAATATTATTTCAGCATGTAACGAATATAAAAAATTGAGATATTTACATTTTTTCTTCATACCAAATCTCTGACATCTGGGGTGTATTTTACCCTTGGAACACATCCTAATTTGGACCAGTCACATCTCGAATGCTCAGTAACCACATGTGACTACTGTATCGGATAGCAGAGCTTTACAAGTTCCTTTGGGGAGGGGCTGTGTGTGTGTCTGTGTGTGCACGCGTGTGGAGCACCTGTATTTCACTGTGATGCTTACAAGCCAGTTTGGCCACAAAGATCACTCGGCCTGGACAGACGACCCGATAGAACTCAGTGACTACTGTGGTCATCCAGACTCAAAAGGAGACTGAGGGGAGGTAAACACCGTGATGGTCAGGAAGGGACACACCCAGAATGATCTGGTCATCAGCCTGGGCAACTCTGCCTTCATCTTCTCTGGCCTTTTCTCTTTAAGTTCTCTAGGCCCATTATTCATATACGCATTCTTCTCATCATGTCTGCCCTTCAGGGCGCTAAAACAAGCCTCAGAATACGGGGTCTGGAGGGAGGGATGACTGTGCGGTCCAGCCTTCATCAACAACGGTGGTGGCCTAGCTCTGCCAAGTGCACAGTCTTCAGTCTCCCTATGCACTCAGGAACCTTAGCTGCCATTTTAATCTGAACTAGCACCGGGATCCACGGGCCTAGGGGCGAGGACCTGGGAGGTGAGTGTTCTCCAGGTACAGCTCAAGCGTGTTTGCAGACACTTGGATTTAGGCTGATACTATGAGGTTTTCACTCCGGTACAATAAATAGTTCTGAAGTTAGTTAACTGAACTAATGTATGGTATTTAAAGAAAAAACTTTGAAAAAGAGAATAATTAACCAGCCTAGTAGGATATGGAGTTGAAAACTATCCTTAGAACTTACTTGTTTCTTACCTTCTAGATAAGAAACTGGCCCTGAGCTCCACTGCACTTGGCTCCAAGTCTAGCAGACTAGTGCTGAGAATGCATCTGCCCTCAAACTTGGTCGTATTCACCTACAAAATGCATAGTGCAAGAGCTGTAGTGAGGATAAAGATAACGTACCTGACTTATGCAAGGAGTCGATAAATGGCAACTGTTACTAATAAACACTTAAGATTTCCAGAAATGAGGCTACATTAAATTTGAAAAACTCTTGACTACCTGGCTCAGCATTTTCCATCAGGCTACTGGAAATTGTAATAATTAACATTTCTTGAGCCAGCACCTGTGCTATGTGGGTATGTGCCTTATTTCATTTAATCCTGACAGCAACCTCACGTTTTATCTGTTTCATGCCCCTGGTTGTATTCTCTGCTCTGAGCCCTCCCTCGTCTGGTATTGACACAGACACTGCAGCTTTCTTTTGATCAGTGTTAGCATGGTATGTTTTTTCCAGTCTTCTTTTAAACTATTTATATTTTTATATTTAAAGTGTATGTTTTATAGGCAGTATATAGTTGGCTTTCCATTTTATTCCATCTGACAAATCCCTCCCTTTTTAATTGGGGCATTTAGATCATTTTACATTTACTTAGTTAGGTTTAAATCCATAATTTTGCTATTGGTTTTCTATTTTTCCCATCTGTTCTTTTTCCATTTTTCTTCTTTTTCTGCCTTCTATTGGATTACTTATGTATTCTTTATGATTCTATTCTGTCTTTGTTGGCTTATTAGCTACAGTTCTGTCTCTCTGGGGCTGCTCTGGGGTGCAGTGTGCACCTGTGGTTTATTGCCGTCACCTCACTTGTGGCTGACCTCACACTCCCTCCTCAGCTCTGTCTTCAGAGCCATATTCTTAACCACCAGACTACACTGCCCCTAGTCCTGCAAACTGGCATTAGTTATTTATTGTCTGTTTTGATTTTTAAAGGTAAAACTAACAAATTCCAAAGGAGAAGACTTCTGTGGTGGTGTTGTAATACAGGAAAATTTTGTACTGACAACGGCAAAATGTTCGCTATTACACAAAAATATTAGTGTGAAAACAAGTAAGTATTTTAATCATCCATTTTTATAAGATCACATGGAAATAAAAACTATCCTATGTAAAATGAAAATGAAAACTTAAAACCTAGGATTTTTGTTTCTATTGCAATACAGAACTGAATTCAGCTTTAATACTATTCCTCAGACACCTATAAAATCAGAAAGTATGTGTAAAACACCTAGTGGAATGCCTGGGCACAGCAAGCAGGCAATGCCAACATTTAGTCTGAGGAGGAAATCACAGCCAATAAAAAGATAATTTGACACTGAAATGGAGCAGCTGTGGTACAGGAGACAGAATATGGGCTGAAAATCTGGGTTCAGATTCCCCTCCACCACCAGAGCCCTTGGGCTATATGCCGTTGGGCTCACTACCCAACCCGTCTGTGCCGAGCTCCTCATCTGGGAAAACTGGGCACTAACTTCTACCCCGCAGGGAGGTTTCGAAGGTTCGGTGATAACTTGTGACAGTGCTCTATAAAGATTCTGAAGAATCTTAAATACATTTTACTCTTCACCCTTAAACATTTTTCAGTCAACAAAACATCAGCCTAAAAAACGACTTCTCAACAACCCAGTTTGATTTGCTTGAAGTTCCTCATAATTTCTTCCCACTTTTTTGACCATTTCACTAAACTTCATTGTATTCCCCCTCCAAAATAATTCATTTTGACTTTTTTAAAGAAGAGTGTGGGAGAGGTCATGGGAATTAGTTGAAAACACTTCATTCTTCGATGTGCCTTTGAATCCACGGATGAGTAAAGGAGACGAGTACAGTGGCCATGGCACGTTCCATCACAACCAGCCCCTGCCTCCTCACCATTCACTGAGAAATCAGTCTCTTATTATTTTCGCAACCTTGAAATCAGACTTTAGAAACCAGCAATCGTTCATTATTTCAGATTTTCACAGAATGAGCAAAGACCCAGTGACCATAGCGGTGCAGAGCGTCCACGTGCACATGAGGTACGAGGAACAAACCGGGGACAATGATGTTTCGCTGTTGGAGCTGGGGCTGCCCATCCAGTGCCCGGATGCTGGGCTCCCCATCTGCGTGCCGGAGAGGGACTTTGCAGAGCATGCCCTCATCCCGGGAGCACGGGGTCTCCTCAGCGGCTGGACGCTCAACGGCTTCCAGCTGGGCAATGTGCCGACGCAGCTGCTGGTCACACACATGGACGGTGAGGAGTGTGGCCAAGCCCTTAATGTGACAGTCACGACGAGGACGTACTGCGAAAGGGGAGCAGTGGGTGGAGCAGTGCGGTGGGCAGAGGGCAGTGTGGTCACCAGAGAACACGAAGGCACCTGGTTCTTGACGGGGATCCTGTGCTCAGTGCCCACAGATGAGCACGGACGGGTGTTTCTTCTCACCAAGGTTTCAAGATACTTACTCTGGTTTAGACAAATCATGAAGTTAACTAAGCCCAGCTAACCACAAAGATTAAAATATGCAGTGGGATTCCAAATTTTAACTGCAATCATGAGATCAATTGAAATTTCACAGCAAAACGGTTCTAAGTGATGATTTCAGAACAACGCACTAGGTCGGCCTACAAACCATCAGTTATGGCTTGCGAAAGCATTACTGAGTGCTCTGACCGTCCCTTCCTTGGGACTTCTTATCTAAACTGAGACCCTAAGGGAAGAAGGGAGATACACTAAATAATAAAAACATATCTGTCAGTCATAAAACAGCCCAGGTTCCTAAAACTGGCTCCTTTTCAAGTCGAATGCTTTCTGATGCTGACAAGTCAATGAGTGTTGCTTAGTCTAACACAAGCACACGATGAGTAAGTGTCTTGGGGACAGAAGCTTCTAAGAATTGCTAGTTATAGACAGAGAGTGACCTCATGGTTGTGCCATGTTCACTGATTGCCAGGGTGAGTGAAAGGGCTGCTCAGCATTGGAAAAAGCAACCAGAAGAGGGTCAGCACAGGACAAGAGATCAAACAGAGAGGGACACGGTATGCAGAGAGCATTAGAGAGAGGATCAGGAAGCACGGGAGAGGCTGGAAGGCAGAAAACGTGGGCCTTCAACAGGGCTGTGCGCCAGGAGAGGGAAACCCCCCAGACGGGCTCTCTGGAGCCTCTCAACCCTGCTACTGAACCCACTAGCTGACTCCCGCACAAGTACAGGTCTTCGTGCCGCAGTCTCCTCGTCTCTAAAGGGAGCAACAGTAGCATCTACCAAATAGGGCCAAGAAGCTGAAGTGGATTCCACAGGTGGAATCCCAGACATCAGCTCCTGCCATCAGGAAGACTGCAGCCTCCACACGAGGAGAGGCAGAACTCGAGTCCAGCCGCAAGCTGTGCTTTCCCACAGCCCAGAACTCCACGTGGGGTCCGCGTTTGTGCCGAAATGAAAACTGAGAGCAAATGGACAGAGATGACGTTTGAGTTAATCTCTTAACTCAAGGAAGTAGCGAAGCTGCTCCTCAACTACAGGCATACGAACTCCAGTCCCCGTGCCCTGCGTGAGGTAAGAGCTTCAACAGCTAACTGCTCTGTGGACAGCAGACGGGCGCACAGAGGGCGGCTCTCACTCCAGAGGCACAGGCTTGGGGGAAGGTGGTCTGCCGGGGCCTCCTGGGACAGAGATGTTGAAAGGTAGAGAGGATTTTTTTAAGGGATTAAAAATGCAAGTTGATTTAAATTTCTTTCATTTTTTTTTTTTTTTTTGAGGAAGCTTGGCCCTGAGCTAACATCTATTACCAATCTTCCTCTTTCTTCTTTTTTCTCCCAAAGCCCCAGTACATAGTTGTGTATCATAGTTGTAGAGTTGTAGCTCTTCTACGTGGGACACCGCTTCAGCACGGCTTGATGCACGGTGAGTAGGTCTGCGCCTAGGATCTGAACTGGCGAACCCCAGGCCGCCAAAGCGGAGCACGTGAACTTAACCACTACGCCACCAGGTCGGCCTGTAAATTTCTTTTGAGTGAAAAATAGGGAGTTTAAACACAATTCAGAAATTCAAGTCTTACGATTCTTAGACACACTAAGTATCTCTTTATTTTTGATATAAACTTGAATCCTAGAATTAAACTTTCTTTTTGGCCAATCTGCAGAAGCGCTGGCCCATTTCTCTGAAAGGATTGTGACAAAAATAAATATGCTAATCTGATGGAGACTAATGGGAAGGCCATGGGGGAACAAGAGTGAATTTTAAAGTCTTAGCAAAATTTCCAAATACCACTATTTGGGTAGTGGTAATTAGGCCACTGCTTTCAATGTCTACTAATAATTTAAAAACCTGCAAATGAGCATAGCAAGTTTTATGTAAATACAGCTGCAAAAATATCCGCAATCTTGTTTATGGCGTTAATTTGCACTACAAATCTGGATTTGCTAAACTAGAGTAAAACCCTGTTTGGCAGTTATTACAAACACGGCGTAGATAGAGGTAAAAACTCACTACAGTGTTTATGTGCCATCAGAGAAGAGCTACAGGCCTGAACTGCCCGCTGGGAACTAGGGCCTTCTAAATGAAAAGAATGGCTCTAAAAAACTTAATAAAGTGCTTAGAAACCATTTGAGATAAGCAAATCAAACAAAAAAATAAAACTCAGAAGACTTTTTAAAGGTTTTTTTTTTTTTTTTTTGGTGAGGAAGATCAGCCCTGTGCTAACATCTGCCAATCCTCCTCTTTTTTTGCTGAGCAAGACTGGCCCTGGGCTAACATCCATGCCCATCTTCCTCCACTTTAT